TCGCTTTCCGGAACATCTCCTGCCGCCACTATGCCGCGGTCTGCGCCATGCGAACAGGAAGGCCATTCATCTTCGTCTTATGGAGTCTGTTGCTTTTGCGGTTCTTTGCTCGGGGGGGCACCCAAGGTTTTTCAGTGGCTTGCGCCCAATGTGCAGGTTAGCTCTAACCATTTGCCTCCTCTTCAGCCCATGGACGTGGACCCACTGACCCACCTGAGACACCCTCGCCCCACGAAGCAGGCTCGTCTCCTTGGCGTCATCGCTCCTCTCGTAGAAGGTGACCACGCCCTTCTCACCACCTGATTCATCATCCATTTCGGCCCATGGAAGGAAACATAAGGAAACCTACACGACACGCTATCACTGCGTTCTTGCTGACTCCAAAAACCTTCGAAACCCGCAAAAAAGAAGCCGCAGAAGACAGCTTTCTGCCCTATCAGCACGGTCCAGGCCAACATCTTCTTAAACCCTACCCTCTGCACCCCCACCCTCTACACCCCTTGCAATCCGCAACCACACCAGCCCCTTGCGGCCCGCCCCCCGCGGTTCCCTTCGGCACGGCACCTGCGATGAAGCCCCGGCTAAAGGAGGCCACACAAAGCAGGGACCGGGGCTCACAAGGCGAGCAGGGAAGCACCTGACGACGTCCGATCCGGTTAGGTCGGCGCCACCCGGGGGGAAGCACGAAGCTAGCCAAAAAGAGCTGCCAGACTTAGAGGTGCCACTTGAGGGTTCGAGGATAGTGGTTTTCCATGGTTTTCTTTAATAGATCTTGCATTCACTATATTCACTTGGTCTTCTGCCGACACGAGCTGTACTTGAAGAACAGTCCTGAGGCTCAATATTCATCCTTGGCGCCCGAGAATCTACCAGGTAATTACACGCAAACCCATGTCTCGTGCCTACATACCTACTGCCCAGATGTCCACGCGAACATCTCTGCATACAATAGGGACCGTACGCACATGAGTTTACATGGAACAATCCTGAATGAATGCAAGGTTTCTTTGGAGCATGGATCTGATCAAGCTGAGCCAGGGCACCATTTTGAACTCACCCCCGCTGTCGAAGAGCAAGGCATCTCCAGCTTCACTACAGACAATCAGGCGGTCATCATTCAGCCAGGTGTGGCAAATGTAGTTCTGATTCGACGCCTGGCAAGGAAAGCATGCTTAGAGCCAGAACCGCAGAAGAATGAAAAGCAAAACGGCGAAATGCCAGTCCAAGTTCAAGCAGCTAGTATTCGACAAAAGCATCTCAAGGAGGGGAAGCAAGGATGAAACACAAAGGGGGCACAAGAGGGCAATGAATGATGCAACGGGGGAATGGGGCACGAGTGGGCCACAGATGAAGCACAAGGGGGAAGGGCAGAAAGGGCAAAGGATGCAACACAAGGAACGAATGAAGGGAACCCAGGGGCCTGGGGGGCAATGGAAAAGAGGAAAGGAAGGGAGCGCGAGAGGATAAAACAAGGCAGGCCCGAGGGGGGAAACAAACAAGACACGACGGGTGAATGAAAGAGCACGAGGGGAAATGAAGAGGGACACACAAGGGTGCAAAGAATGAAGGGCGCACGAGGGAGCAATGGACGAAACACAAGAAGGGAAGGCAAGCATCATATTCTATCTGCGCTGGCGCTGGCATTCTAATTGCCCGTCGTCCACTGTCTGAAAGAATGTTTCACAAGTCCGCGAGCCTCTCGCATCTTATTGAGCTGATTCGGGATCCCTTTGAAGGTGCCATCCTGGAGCCGGAAGAACTTGAAGACGCCATCTCCGATGATGCACACCTCAGACCGGGCTGGCACAGCTGATCGGGCCCCGACGACGATTGGATCCACACACAACCCACATGCCCTGCATGAGTGCAGTACGGGCCACCGGGTGGATTCTCACCTCATCGAGCCCATCAAAAAGACCTACTCAGCTAAGGGCTTGCCCACAGGCGGCTTCAGTAGCCTTTACCACTGCCTCACGGATCTTTCCGCAAGCACCTTGAGCAACCCTCTGCCCCCATTCCACTACTCCAGTTCCACCGGAACGCCCCAAAGACACGCCCTAGGCCGACGCTGCCATGGCGCTAGGGAGGAATCCTGTGGATTGAAGGAACACTCATGGATCATGCTGCCCGTCAGGTTGGAGACCTTCACGGCCCCATGGGCCTTCGCCTGGCGGGTGCTCTGGCTCAAGGCTGCGGTTAACCGACACACCACTATTGAACATGAACATCACAGTCAGGAAAGCATAGAGGTGACCAATTCCAAACTCCAAAAACCATGTCCAAACTCCAAACCTTAGCCTGCTTGGACATCCATCTTGGAGCTTTTCAAGATCTTGGCCGCTGGCCCCCCCCAACCACCCGGACCCTTTTCGGGGCGCCTTGTCCCAGGACCACAGGATCAACGTCCAGTCTGGTGGGCCTCCCTGGGTGATGAGGAGCTTGTTCTCCGCCGAGAAGGCCGCGCACACGTACTCCCGGGCCTCCAAAATCCCGGCGAAGGAGTGGATCGGCAGCATCCAGTGGATCGGCAGGTGGTCTGCTCCACACCCCCGGGATGGATGAAGTGCCGTCGTTTGGAACGAGTGGCATCGGCAGATACTCTATAGAGGTGCGGGGAGGGGGCTTTTGCCAAATACCCCAGCAATCACTGCAATTGGGCGCATCCACGCCGGCTTCCGGCTAATTTGTAGGGAACACAACCCATTTGGTGGACACAGCGATGGTCTGTGGTGGTCCCCCACCAAAAAGTTACGTCCAGAAGCAGCCATGACCCCCTGGTCGCCCGCGAGCCGGTCGATCCGCTCATCGGTCGGCCGAGCCACATCGCACTCGCCGTAGGTGAGCTGACCTCTTCTCCGCTTGCCCGTGGTGACGTCGTAGACGTAGCACACGGCGCGCTCCTGAAACTTCTCGCAGACCTGGGCGTGTCCGGCGTGGACAGGTGCACAGAGATGTGGGTGGAGGGTGAGGTGTCCGGAGCTCATGTGGGCGAAAGACATGGGACGAGGGAGATAGGCTCGACAAGGCTCACCAACACCCTCATGCAGAATCACCGGTGTCACTTGTGCGACATGGTGCCCATCATGCAGAATCCCGCTCTGGATCGATAGCGGCTCAGTTCGATTTCAGGTGGTGACCATCCATTCTTGGCACCCCAAAGCATGAAGTCCAAGGGCTTTGAGAAAAAAAGCTTCCCTCTTCCCTCTTCCCTCCACCAAGCATGACAGGACAACGCGCAACGCACTGGCACCTCGGACAACGCACGTCTCTCCACGGAGTGTCTGCAACCTTCGGGGTCCGAAGCACTGCTTCTAACCCCCCCTGCCTTGAACCACCGGAGGGCAACACCAACCTCTTGGGATTCAAACCCAGGCACTGCCAGGAACTTCCGGTTGGGACTTAAGGCTAAACTGCTAATGCCCTCGCTGCCCTCGGAGCCTGGCAGGTGTGCTCGCCGCAAGCTGTCAGGAAGTTCTGGTTGGGGAGTGGGGAGTGGGGGAGGGTGGAATCCAACTCCAATGAAGCTGCTTTAGAAAGGAGTCATCGTCCTTTAGAAAGGCCATAGAGACCCATGGACCAGGCCAGTTGACCTCTTGGTTCCGTACCTCCTCGCACCGTTGGAGAGGTTTTCATTCAGCAATCCTTAAGAGCCTGTTCCTGGCATTTTCGAATCGGGCTTCTGCTCCATTTGGGCCTGGAAAGACTCTGATCTGACTCTTGTGATCCGCATGGTAGAGGATGGTGTTGTGCCCTGCAGGGTACCTCAGTGCCGCGAACTGCAAGAAAACGATGGCCGCGAACTGCGAGATGGACGACTCTTTGTGCGACCCTCCATGTGCCATGGAAGCTGGTGTGCTACCCCATTTTCCTGAGATGCTCGCCCTGCCTCATGTTAAACCATGATCTTGAAGAGTTGCTATGACACAAGTCCTTGTGACTACGCCCAAGCACCCAGCAATCCCTTAGCAGGTCCATATCCATAACATCCCTCCACAGAGCCGCGTCATCCGCCCCCACTCCCCTCCAGTACTCTCGGTCCAGGTGGCAGGAGGTGTGCGTCATCCGTGAAGTGCACGTTGCCCTTGACGCCGCTCTTGAAGCCGAAGACGTGTCTGTGAGCCAGCTGAGCTCCAGTCTCCTGGCGAGTCTTTCGAACCGAAGCAGCCATAGGGAGGGAGGCGGCTCAGGAGGAGGGAGTGGCCAGTGCACCACCCATCGGTCACGCGACTTCGACCAGGGATGGAAGCCCCCCAAAAACATGGCGCCGGTCTGCCTGTCTGCCCAATTTCTTGTTCGTCCTTCCCTTGTCTTGACAAGAGTTTCCTTTCTGGTGCTGGGGCGCACGGCACACACAAATCCCTCTCCTCTTCCTTCTTCTCCTCCTTCTTTTCTTCCTTCTTCTCTTTCTCCTTTGCCTCCGCCATGTCTTCGTGGCTCTTGAGCCAAGGTGGCCACAGTTGACAAGTCTGCTGTCTTGGGAGCCGCCTTTCTTGGGTGCAACTGCCTAAAGTGCTGAGGGGCCTGGACCCGTGCCGCTTTCCTATCTCAATCAACTATTATTTGCACGAATACCAGGACATCCCGACCCAACCATGGCCATGGCAATGATCCTACATCAGTCAACGAATCAATGCACGTGTTTTTTTTCCGAGACTCGACTCCGAAATTCGATGCTGCGGCATGCCTTCTGACCAGTGGGAAAGATTCTGGACCCCGCAGGTCATGCAGGCATCATGTTATGTCACATGTTCCTACAATCTCTTCTACAAACTCATCTGAAGCTCAGCTACTCAGCTACTACTCCGTCACATCACCCCAAAAGCACTCCAAAGCACTCCTGACCCCTTCAAACCTAGATCCCATCGCTTGAGAGCCACCCAGGCTACCCAGGCTCCCCGCTTGAAAACGGTGACTGGCTGGTCACTTCCCTCAAAACTGGCCCACGCGGGTGTGGAATGGCTGGGCATGGCTGGGCATTGCTCGCGCCAGGTTTCCCGGACCTGCGGCCAACTGATCCAACCCTCGCTGGAGCTTGTGGTCAATGTCCTTAAATCGCTGGCCCCGCGAGCTAGGCCAACCGGAACGAGAAATCGCAGATCATCACGTCGTCTCGCCCCCCTCATGGCAACATTAAACCATAGTCCGAAGAGGTCCAAATCACTTGGTGAGTGCCCCAACTGGGTTTACACCCGAAAACCCTCGTTGGGTCCCGCAAGCCAGCGTGCTTCAGCCAACTCCACCAAGCTACTCCCAACCAGCAGGACTCTTTGGCACCATGGGTGAGCTCCTGCCGCATGCGGCGCGCACGGACCAAGGAACGGTCTACATCACCGCACGCAATCCGGAATGAAAAGGCATCACAGGATGGAACACGCGTCCCCGGCACGTCCTTCCACAAGGACAGGACGTTTCCGGTGAAGCCCATCTTGTGCATTGCCATGAAGAAACTCAGCACATTCTTGGCACTGACAGCACATGAATGATACCCTGGTACTGGCGACGCGTGCAGGATTCTTATGATTCTGAATGGTTGATGGACAACGTTGATGGACAAACATGGGGCACCTTCATGGTTTAGTTATTGAGCTTGTTGTACTGGGGATGGCGTTTTGCCGTGTGGCCATCTGGTGGAATACTCCTAGGTCACGCGCGGTTTAATTCAACTACTCCTCAAACCATGCAACCTTATGGAATCTCAGAGATATATGAGGCAACAAAAATATGAGTGTGTGTGTGTGCCAGGGTCATGTTTGTATGTTTTGACCTGATGAGATAGGAGTGGCATGTAGGCTCTTTCCTGATGACTGATGACATATCATATGTGTCATGTCTTCCTCACCCATCGTTTCACAAGTCCTATCTCAGCTTCCTTCATATATATATATACATGTAAAGCACCACTGACCACTGGAAGACCACTCGAATCAGGGGGATGTTCCACCTCCACAGCTACAGCGACCCTCAGAAACGAATCCACTGGCGCCCCGCGACTCGCTCTGCAAGACGGGTGCCAGGCCCATCTGATCCAAGCAAACGCGCGCGCGAACGGGTGCGGAAACGGGGGGAGGCTTGAGCTGGTTCATTTCGCCCAGGAAAACGGGGGGCTGAAGAAGTGCAATCAACTTCTTCTGCAGGAAGAAGACCCTCTTAGGAACACTCAGGGCCCAACCTGCTAGCAACATGCCAACCACAACGGGCACCATGGCCACTTGTCTCCAACCATCGGCCGCTTCAAGACCCTGTCTTTCTTCCCCACCCGTGTCACTGGGATCGCTGGCTCCAAGCCGTCGCCCCCTGTGGCACCTCGTCCGGAGCGACGCCCGTGCGCCAGCCGCGGCAGATGGACCCGTACCTGGCACCGTGAGCCGTGAGGAAACCCATGGTGCTGAGCAAACAGAAAGCACGGGAGGTTTCACGCCATTGGATGAGCCAGAAGAAGGCTGAGATGAAGGTGCAAAAGGGGTTAGGGGCAGGGCTGGAAGTTCTGGCGTGGCCTGTTTGTAATTAGAGCTCTTCATCGGTTCATCGGGATGGTTCGTAGGTTGCATGGAAGGAGGCCCCTCAAATTGGCCGTTGTTTGGTGGTATTTCAGCTGTGGCAACTGGTCCACTGTGACCGCCTTCCAGCCATCATCCCACCTGCATTCGGCTCACACCCCTGCGCCTGTGGGTCAGGAAGGCTGTAAAGCCCCGTACCTGCAGATCGGCGGAGCATGCGGAGCATGCGGAGCACCGGCCGAAAAGTGTGCGACATGTTGCTCACCCCCTTCTTATTCTCATGCAGTCATACAGTGAAAGAAGCTCCAAGTCATTAATTTCTTGACCTTCGAACCCCACCCACCCACCCCAAAAGAAGAAGGATCTCAACGTTTCGGCACATCCCCAGCAAGGCCATGGAAGTCCAATCGCTCCCGTTCCTTCCAGTGACCGAACTCACGGCTGATGAACCGAGGAGTCGGAACGGGAGTTTCTGCGCGTTTTAGCCACTTGCAGTGACCACCTGTTGTGAAGCCACAATGGGTGTGTATTGTGCAATAGGGAGATCCCCGATCGCCCCAACAGTGGATTTTCACGAATGTTCCGGCGGGTTTCGTTTTCGTCTCCCCATTTCAATGCACAGCCACATGTCAATGGTTTGTCCTAAGGACATTTAAAAAGATCTGGTTGCTCATGCTGGAGCCACGATATACATCTATGATATAGGAAAAACTCGGCATGACGTCCTGACAGCTACTGTATGCAAGTGCTTTGGACCACTGCTGACGCAGTGGAAGATGTGTCGTTGCACCCAATCCCGACGACTTCGGACCCTGAATGATACTGTCAGGGTTGATATAAAACCATGTCCAACACAGAGCTATCTACCAGGACCCTCCGTTCGGGGTGTCTAAACATAGCCTCTCAGAGCTGCTCAAGGGGTGTCCAAAAACCACCTGGCTTGGAAGGTCCAGGCACAGCGCTTTTGGAGGGAATATGATGTCCACCAATCGACATGCTTCGACGCAATCGCGATCGTTGGTCCTTCTTCTTCAGCCGATATCGAGTTTGCAGCGCGTCTTTCTGGCATTGGAAAGCGCGGGCTTTTGAGTGCATCATCAGATTGAGCTCAACTGGGCTACGGACTACTGTTGATCTTTGTCCAACGCATCTCCCTAAGCCATTACTTATGGTATGTTTCTTAGCATGAGCTTCTGGAAAGTGAATGCTGCAAGCACAGGCTGGTAGAGGAAACTATGTTCATGTTGCGTCGGTAGGCTAGGAAACCAGTGAAGGGGAAGGTGATACAAAACCTCGCTCTGTCCAGAGCCAGAAAAGTATATGCAAAATATGTCTGAGATATCCCGACCTCCGAGACTTCTCATGTTCTTTGGTTTGAAAGTATGTACGCTGCCAAACTTCTCCTCCGCATTCCTTCCAACGCCCCGCCACTCCGAGCTCGCTCCGCTCGCTCCGTTGTCGGGGACCAGGGCCCCGGCCCGCTGCAGCTCCCAGCGCACACTCTCCGACCTCAAAGAACCAAGTAGATGGAACCTCCAACCAACCACACCCAGCTCGGTTGATCTGCCCAGCTCGGGTGCACAGCGTCTTCGTGGCGGCCCGACCAAAAATTGCAAATTCTAGTGGAGCTAGCAGCTAGCCCTTCACTGGGCACAAGTCTCGGGGGCGGAGAGGGGTAGCAAATGCCTTCAGACTCGGCGCAAAATCATGCAAGTCCTTCCGAACCAACAGCGGGTGCTCTGCGCTGGTGCAGCACAATCGGATGCACTCAGTGTCTTCGGTGCTGATAGAAACCGTGCTAAAGTCCCCCCCCACCTGTTCACGGCCCCGTGCGGTTCAAATGGAAAAAAAGAATAACGGACTCACGGATGAAGAGTCAGGGCACGGCTCAGCACAGCTGGGCACGGAGATGGAAAAGCCTCAGCTCTGGAGCTCTGGAAGCTCTGGAAGCTCCGAAGACAGTGGGGGTCGAGGGTCGGTTAGGCCAGTGAAGACTGCGGCAACTACTGCCGACCCTGGCCCTGTGAGTGACTTTGGGGGATGAGATTCTCTGTGCCAAGGTGTGCATGGAACACTGCCCTCAGCCAGCAGAGAATCTTTGCACGTTTATCAAACCCTGGCATGACCCAAGTGTCTTTCGCAAAGGCAAGGAAAATCAAGTGAAAATGAAACTTCTGCGATCTGCCAAATGAATTCCGTGCAACTAGTGTCCATGCAAGCTGGAAGGCCAGTCCAACTTAACTTGCCAGTAGACTCAGTAGACGCTTCTACAGCACTGCTCCAAATTGAAAAAGACATATCGATCTGAGTTCTTATCAAACCTCGTGGTCGTGTTTTTTGGACCACACAGAGAGGGGGGGATAAAAAGAAAGCATTGATCTAAAACAACTTCAACAAACACCTCCAAGCTCACAAAAAAACGGGCTCCGCGTTCGTCGTTTTTTCTCGGACGCCGCCGAGCCGAAAACCATCCCGGGGAGAGAACGGAGCTCCGGTGCCTCTCTGAGCTCTCCCGGCTGGGCTCCGATCGGGACTTGATGGCCGATTTCGGCGCCTTGGATGGCGAGCCGGGGCGTGGCGAGCCCGGCGGGACGTGTCACTGGGGCGGCGTCACCGGGGGATGGACGGAAGAAAGGGTGTGGAAGTGCAGGGGGAAGTAAAGATAGGTTCAAGGCAGGTGAGGGACTTCCCAGTCGCTGCGGTGAGGGCCTTCTTAGGGGATCTTGGATAATTTTAAGTGGGACAACCAAAGGAATGCCTTTTAAGCTCTCATCTCGTGTCCTCTTTTGACCTTCACTCGCCCACACGCAGAAACCCAGCGTGACACGGGCTCCTCTCCCCCGAGGCGTAGGTACCAAAGGAAGCTCCTTTCCCCCCGGTGGCAGTCCGAGCTTGCGACCGCCATGAGTCCAGGCGAAGCTCACATGTCACGGCGGCATAGATCAGGCTGAAACGGACGACAGGTTCACGTCATCTTGCAAATGTGACGGGCCGTGCTCGGCCGTGCTCCCAAGCTGCAGCTGGTAGGACTGTTGAGGGGGGCTTGGTAGGACTGTTGAGAGGCCCGGAGATGTTGTGAAAACGACTCTCTAAACCATGCCATGTCGCTCACATGAAGTGCAAACGGCACTCAGGACGGCCACGAACAAATGCCATCAGACTCATGTTTCACACGCCGGGTTGCTTGGTTTCTCTCCCATCTCTCATGATGTGCACAGCTGGAGCTCGTTCCCTTTTGCATCTGGCTGCCGCCCCGCAGCATCCTCGACATGTCCACGCTCCGATGTGCTTGGCAACTCAAGCAGCACAGCCGCACAGCCCAGCTGCTAACTAAAGCAATGCTAAGCACATGCTGTAACGTATACAAATCTAAAACGTAGGCTCTGGTCAGCAAACTGGCCGTTGAACTAGTTTACAGATAACCAAACTCTAGTCAGAACTTCTTTTTGGGACTACATTTCAGAGTCATACACACAGCGGACATCGAGTCTGGCATACAGAGACGAGATGTGCTCTGCCCTTCCCATCTTATCATATCTTGTCCGTCCTAATTCAAGCTCGTCTCCCGTTGACGTTGACGGACGCGAACCGGCCGTCGGCAGCCTTGCAGCGAACGCGCGACAAACCCAAAAGCCAACGTGCCGACCTGGACCGCGGCTCGGAACAGCAGATGGAACCAACTCCACAAAGTTGGTTGGAAGCGACATGCACAAAAAGAGCCTCTTTGCAACGAAGGAAGGGCAAATGGCAAAGTCCTGTTTCTTTCCGCTCCTGCTCGAAACTAAAAAGCTTCTACAGTAGATTAGCCAGCGATGTTCCAAAGATCACGGCCGAAAACCGCTCGCCTCATCACCTCTGAGAGACAGCTCTCCTGCAACACTTGGTTGTGCCCGGGAACTGTTGCAACCCAACCCCATGGCCAGCCCGCAGTTGGACCATAAAAAGGATCACGTGTAGGGAAAACTGTATAATAAGTATAAGTATAAATATATATATATTATATATAGGTAAGGTATATAGGCAATCGGAGCGCACGAGTCAAGCTTAGGCAACCCCTAATGAATCTCAGCTTAACCAGATCGAACCTCTTCACGAAGATCCATTCTCGGACGCGGCTCCTGACCACCGAAAAGCCCATCCCCGGCTCCATGGCACTGAAACCGAGCCGCTTTCCTGCTGGCCCCGCCCCAGCCGCCGGAAGGTCGGGAAAAACGGGGATGCAAACGGTCCAAGCACTGCGAGAACGGCGAGCACGTGGTGCCCCAGGAAACGATCAAAACTCAAAGGAAACGTTCTTTCTCATGTTCTATGACCATCTCTGCTTGCTTGACTATGTCTTTCCCTGTAAGTCTTCTGGACTAACTTTTTCAAACTGAGCATGGCTTCGCAGCATCACCCCTATGGCTGTCGCCTAGATTCTAGACTGGACTCCCTGAAGCTTTCGGCAGGTTCAACGCTGGCTCGTGCAGCACACCTTTGGGACTCGCTGTCCCAGCTTTGGAATAGTCACCGTGACGTATTCCCATCCAACGAGGCCAGTGTGGGGTGCTGGTAAGCAACAAAGTTCCAAACAAACCGCCATTTGCCAGCATCAAACCGCGGAGCTTGGGAGGTCCCTAAACAAGCTAATGTCCCCATGGCATGCACTTCTGGGAAGTGCAGCCCAGCTAAATGTCAAACAAACGCACGAAAGTGCATCTACGCTTCTTGAAGCTTCTTCAACTGGCAGTGATCAGCCCACCAGCCGCGGAAGAAAGCGACTCAGCTATGCCCATGAAGGTCTCCTGCAAGGAAATGTTGTCCACAGACTGCATGGAGCTACTGGCCTGGGCAAACTCATCATCAAAGGCCGCATGGTTCCGAGCCGCCTGCGCCATCTGTGCCAGCACGTCGGCATCACTGCCGTGCTGGGCAGGGAACTGCACTGTGTGCAAGCGCAGCGCTTTGCCCGGTGTGCTGCGGGCCACGGCAGCAAAGACCCTCTGCAGGGCCTGTGCGGGAAAATGATCCCAACCATCCGACAAGAACATCACCATTGATCGGTGGCTGTTGGGCGTTTGCTGCACCAGTGGGATAGTTGCAGCCATGGCATTGGCGAAGCTGGTTTGATAGTTTGCCTCCAGGTTGCTGAGCCATTGATGGCAAGTGTCGAAGTCCGAGATCGAAACCATAGATGGCCCATTGAGAGCGTCTGTGTCGAAGGCCAACAAAGAGATTTTGTCATCTGGACTACTGTGTTGTCGCTTTTCCACAAAACTTTGAATGGCCGCCAGTGCGCAACCCAACCGATTTGGATGCGAGTCCCGCCACGGCCGCGTCTCAGGCACAACATCATTGTAGCTCATGGAACCAGACTTGTCAATGAGGAAGATGGTATGGACTGGCAGGCTGGTTCTGTGCGAACAACTGAAATGATGCCCATCAGGTGACACAATCCCACCGTGCTGCCTCACATATTCTTTGCCTTCTTGGTCCGACAGCGCTGCATGCCACAGCGGCAGGGTGCAAAAGGAAGGCAGCTCGCCATCCTTCATGTGTGAGGCGTGTGGGCAAAAGTGGTTGCATTTCCCGAAGACTTCCTTGTCCTCGTTGGAGCATGGATCCTTAAATCCAGTGCTCTCCCAGAAAGCCTCATGGGTGAACTCGTCCTTGGGAATCTCGGGGTTCGGCTTGTACTGACGCATGGAATGGCGCCGTCCTGGCATGGCCGAGATGCAGCACTGCCCACCCTGCCCACTGGAATAGTCAGCGCATAGCTTCACATGCGTGTGCCCACCTTGGTCTGATTTCATGCGATAAGCAAACCATGGAGTGAAAGCTCAACAAGGCTTGCAATTCGACATTTGATCCAATCCAAAAAAAGAGTACCGATGTTGGCTCAAGGCTCAACATGCATGTGGTCACATGCTGAGGAGCTCACGTCCAGCCCGATGGCAGTACATGTTGCACATCTCTGCCACTCCAGACTCAGCGGGAGCATATTTGCGAGATCCCAAGGTAAACACATCCTGATCAAGTTGAACGACCCCCGCATGGGACAGTCTACATGGTGCGTGAACCTGCAATCTCAAGGCAGGTCGGTCTTCAAACAAGTGAAGGGGAGTGGAGAGCATGATTAACACTCAACATAATCAACAAAGGTCCTCATCCGACACGAAGTAGGTCCGCCGCATGTTGCCATGACGAGTGTCATGCTCTCCTGAATGCTCCCATGGTAAGGTGCAGTAGTAGCCGCAAGTGGGGCACTTCACATCACAGTAATGCACCAAGTTTTCAGTGCTCGAATGAATGTGTTCACCTTCATGCTGCCGACTCTTGGGTGGCACTACCTTGCAACAACCCTTGCGAACACCGTTCTGCTCGGTTTCAATCGCATCGTAGTCAAAGGTGTCGTGCTTTCCGGTGAACTTCTGCTTCTTGACCACCAGCTCGGAATAGATTTCGCAAATGCCTGGTGCTTCACACTCATGAGGGCACTGGTGCGGCTGGTCACACATGCAACCATCCCCGCTGTGGCCTTCTGTGTGGAAGTGATCCTGCTCCGAGCACATGAAGGTACAATTGGGAAATGTGCACTTGTTGGGGCACACAATGATGTGGCACTCGCACCGGTCGTGCATCAGGTCGTGCGGCAACACACAAGAATGCTGACAAGTGCTGAGAGCACAAGGTTTTCCACAATGGTGCCTCTTGGATCCACACAAGTGCTGCTCTTCTGAATGCCCGGGCTTCAGCACGCAACGACCTCCACAATTCCCCAAATTGCTCAGTGAGCATTCAGCCCCACATGTGTGAGCAGCATCTCCACAATCGTGCTCTGCTGAGTGGCCAGCCGGCTGAACACAAGCTGCAGCCACACCATCTGACGCGCAGTAGTGACAGAAGGCATGACACTTGTGATCAGTGCCGCAGTCGTGGGACGATGAGCTGTGATCAACGGGTAGGGTGCAAGGCAAACGGCACATTCCGCAATCCTGACCGCAAAGCCGCAGTTTCTGCAACAGCCTGGCAGGACTTTACCAGACCCAGTGCACATCTCTTCCAAACAATCTTTCGGGCAGAATATTGAATATTGTTCCTGGCTTCCTTAAAAACGCAAGTGGGGTGCGCTTAGCCACCTACCCATGACCTGGTGGGAATGAACCCCCTTCTCTTTGAGAAGGCCTGGCTAGGACCGTCTTGGCCACCATCAGCAAACGTTGCGCATCCCCTTCGCCCGCCACGTGCTCGACATTGGCTTCCAGCCACGCAACGATGCGCTTCTGCCGACGCTGCGCCAAGGCTTGCAGAACCGGAGTCCAGTCCTCGGGCCAAAAACAAGCCACACGTGCGGAACTGTCTCTGTTTTTGGCACCTCGTAGGTCCCTAATTCTGAGCCCAACTAGAACCGCATCACCGCCTAGAACTTTCTTTCTCTGAGACTTTACCCCGTTGACTCGTGCTGGCAAGCAACGGTGGCAGTAGAGCAGTTCACAGCCGCTTTCAGTTTGCTGAGCAGGGATGCCATGATCTCGCACGACACTTCCACGTCCAGCGCTCCGTCTTGCTCCTGAACCAGTGCCAATTGCAAGCCCTCATCCGGCACAGCTGCTAGGATGCTGTTCATCTCTGGTTCATCACCTTCACTGCCTTTGTCCAAGAAAGTCTTGTTGCTTCGCAAGTGAAGCAATGGAACGGGGCCATCCTGCAGAGTGCCAGACGTGATCCGCTTCATCACTGGAACAAAAACATGTGGCAATGACAACTCAACTCAATGTCCTCAGTCACCGCCATGCAACCTGCCATCACTGCAGTTGCAAGGCACTCCTGGAGGCTGGCAAGCAGCATTTTGATCTTGTTCTGATCCTTGCTTGGCCAGATGCAACAGCCCAACGTTCGATCAACAAGCTGCTAGCTGCTAGTCCGATTCAATGACTCAGGCGGTGACAGTCGGCGTCCAATCTTTCATGGCAATCTTTGCCATCAAGAGCTTGGTGTTCCGCAAGTACTGTCGCCCGCTTTCAAAGCAACGCTTCTCCGCCTTCAGGGCAAGGGTTCCAGTTATGGATCGGTTCAATGCGATACTGTCAGGCCATCAAAGAACTATATGATGGAAGTAGTATATAGCACAAAACAACAAATACCAAAAAAGATTTCACACTTCCACCTTTCGGTATTTGCCAGGTATTCTGTATTCTATTCTCATCACCACGGCCGTACTTTCTGACCCTGAGCAACTGCATGGAATCGCTGAAAAAATGGAAACGCAAACGTTATATATATATATATATGTGTGTGTGTGTGTTTTTCCAATTCATGTCTTGCACAGGTGGGCAACTGGCCATCAGAGGGTCGAAGGTGTGAAGACCAAGACATCCACCATGCACCAAGTGCCGTCAAGTAACTTCGTACAAACTGCCCCTTTAAGCCCCCCTCTTCCTTGCAAATATCCTTCATGTCCTTTGATGTCCGTGTCCGTATACATAATTCTTTGAGCATCCTCGTCTTTTTGACTCCGAAACTTAACAGCATCAAGCGTAAGGGGCGCTCTAGGGAAAAACGTTCCAACCTGATCATTCTGGGGGGGCAGCTGGGACACCAAACCAGTTAAACCCGCTTCGTGCTGCCGGTCCTTTCAAACACCCGCGGGAAGCGCGGGAATCGCGCCTGCGCAGCACGGACTTTGCTGGTCAGCGAGTTGAACTCCCGGTAGAACTCCGCACGTCCCAAAGCTGGGAACGGCAGGATGCCAACCTCGGACAACGACACTGTGGATGTGTATATATACCATGTATCCCATTCCCCCAGTGGATGATGATGGTGAAAAGTTGCAGGCCGACATCTCTAATCTAGTGATGTTCTTCTCTACCGACTGTTCACAGGTAACACACTAGATACTACCCCTCGAAAAATCTACAGTACAAAGAGAATCTTGCGGCAACAATTCCCAGGTGGTGTTGGATTCTTCCGAAGCAAGGGTGCAGTTTGCATTTACGCCGCCGGACTACAAGGGAAATAAAGCTGGTGTTGGCCTACAATGGCATGTGATCTTGGAAATGTGGGCATTCAGTTGTCTTGCCGTGCATCAAGTCCAAACTGCCATCTGGCTCACAGTTCGCACAAGGAAAGAAAAACCACTGAGGCCTGCACACGGCCCTTGTATAAGCGCAAGAAGAAGTTGTCTTCCTTGTCCCTTGCAATGATGTGCTGTATCTTCTGCCGAAACTCCTGGGCAACTTCCTTCGCATCAGAGACGACGTCCTTCACCACGATTTGGAAAAATCCATTGAACAGCTCTTCGTCCCCTTGGATCAGCTTTGCCCCCTGCTGCATGCGCGAGAAGATGCTTGCGGTGTCGCAATCCAGGCGATTCTCTGTGCGGAAGAGCGAAACGTGAGAAATGGCGGCATTGAAGACCTGGCAGGCTCAGGCGGCAGAAAAGCAAAAAGGGTGCAAAAAATGGGAAAGGCTACTTTCAAGCGAAGTATGAGCTCTGAGCCGCAGTAGGGTCCTAAGCCTCGGGCCGACAGCAGCATGTCTTCCTGCGCTGACCGCTCAAAAGAGCCCAAGCCTTCGAAGTCCAGCATCACATAAGTGATGTCACTGTGCTCACGAACCGTCATCCACACGCCATCAGTACCTGAGATACTGGTGTTCATACGGTCTCCACCACAGCTTCAGTGCACTAACAGAAACATCAAATTGAGGCCGGCACAGCGGCCGCCAGAGGTATCAAAGCTTGTGCCTGCCAAAGCTGGTGGAAAGACTTGAAGTAGCTGAATGAGAAAGAATACCTTTTACTGGCATGCATGGTCACTTATATGCCTGAGAACGAAGCATCCTTGGTTTCGGGCTTTCATTGGTTTCTTGAAAGCATGTGTCAACTGGCCTGCCAAATGGTTCAGCATGTAGGACTTTCCAGTGGACTGTTTGCCCATGCTGCTGATCACCACCACCGGGTTCTCATTGCTTTCCAATACCAGCTCATAGAGCCCGAAGGAAATAAACTCTGCCAACTCACTCAGGTTGCTGAAGTCACTGACGTCCTCGCGCATGCCATCTTTCAGGATCACAAAGGATTCATTCTCGGCACGGGCAATCTGCAAGGGCACCAGGCAAATGAGTTTGCGCAACAGCCTCGGCAGCAAATCCATCAGCTTGCCAAAATGAGCGACAGTGACTTGACAAAGCTTGCTCTACGCTCCAAACAATCGGAGACAGCTCAGAACTCTTGGGAGAAAGGCCGACTCACTCTGGATGTGCCAGGCAGTCTCCAAGGAGGCAGAGCCGGGGTGTCAAAGGCCCCCCCAAAAAAAAACAGAAACGGAAATTGTATGCAGCAATGTGAAGTGGTGAATAATAATCTATGAAGAGGTGGTGTGGTGTGCTTTCTATGCACGGCCATCTGCAAATCATTTTATATAGTGAATGCTTCTACCATCTTCTCGCGTCTTGATGGTTCTGTAGTTTTAAAACCTTTGACGTGGTGTGTCGTGATCGTTGATGCGGTGAAGTGCAAAGTGGAGCTGGTGATGTTGTCAAGCAGCCCTGCCATTGCGACTCCAAACACCCAGTTCCCCAACTGAACTGCAAGCCCAAAGCAACCCAGCGCCACCCTGTAGACTCAACTCACACAAGGAAATGTTGAAAGAAAAACATGTGTCACATGTCGTGACACGAAATCCCTTGTGCAAAGAAATGAACCCAATTGTCTCATGATAGCCCTCTTTCAACCTAAAATCTTGTGGGCAATGACATTTTGTCGCGTCTACATTTTGTCGCGTCTTGCTAACATAGCATCATGAAACAACCGGCTGCGATGGCAAGGTGTTCAACGACCCTGGTCATGCCCTGAAGAATGTTGTAAACGGACTGAAAGGCAAAATATCAGGGAGAAAATATATTGGAAAGATACCAGCCGGCAATGATGTGCATTTAATGTCACGAGACAATAGGTGTACCTATCAGCAAGTAAAACTTTCCTGAGTGAATTGTACCAAGCACATCTGATAGTGGTTATATGTAGATACAGTATATGTGTGTAGGGTGTCCGAAACTGGAACTTTCCTGGCAGAAGCAACTAGGCATGGAAACTCTCCTTCCCAAAACCTAAAATCTCATGAAAGTCTTCAGTCCATGTTGGGAAAGGTCCGGAACGACTCTCCTAAGGTCCTATGCAAAATATGTGTAAAAATACTTGAAAGATTATCCAAATATGTTTTGCCAAGGCATGTTGAGGACCATTTGCACTTCAAAGCTGCGTGTATGAAACTCCATGTATGAAAATATCTTGCATTTCACCTACTTGCCGCTACATTTACTGTATAGTTTATTGCGAACACTAGACTTGCATGTCGCCTAAGTACTGCCGCATTTTTGCGGAAATGCTCTATTGGCGCAACTACGTGTATGACCACCACACGCCCGCACTTCTCCTGCCTACGACCACACGGCACCCCTTCGATTTCACTTGAAGACACTGTGCGGCACACAGATCAGTCAGATTCTCGATGTCTTCCCACCGTGGAAGACCACCATGCGCAACGAACTGAGGGCTGACTGTGCGACTCCCCAAGCAGAGTGCGAACGATGTTGCAAGTTAGGGCTTTGAAGACATGATCGCCATCCACAAGTGTATCGATGACTTTGCCCCTCGCTATTGCACCCTTCAGCGCACGCACAGCATGGAGAAAAACATGCAAGTGTTGACAAGATACAAATCCTACCAAATCAATTCCACTCTGTAGCAACCAAAATGGCAACACTGCAACACCTGTACGTGCACCCATGCTACGACACGATGACATTCACAAATCAAACCCAAACGTCTGAAACATGTGCTAAGAAATAGGCCAGTTAAAAGGTAGTCAATGCTCAATGTGCGACAATGAGAAATCTCAACCTCACCCCCAAAAAAAGGAACTATATACTGCAAAAGGTATCTGAAAGGCTTCATTAACAAACGCCATATGGCAGGGTTGAACTATATAACAATATGCTTAAAATGCAAGGGTTCTTTTGGTGTTTTGTGGATATTCAATGAATGAACGACAACAAGATCAACAAGGCACCTACAGACAACAAGGTGATGTCTGTGATGCTGGATGTGTCCTGTGCATTGCTTGCATGTTCTAAATTGTGCTGTTTTTAGGACATGGTTTATGATTTTGGGTTGCATACAAACCTTTAAAAGAATACTTAAAATGCACCTCGATGTTAAAATTAAGTAATTCTGCATCTCTGTGAAAACCTCTGCATGAAGGAACATAATTCAAGGCTTAGCGGCTTAGCGGAGGAACACTTATAAGAACATGTAAGAACCAAGCGTGGCCCAAAGGAGTTGCGATCCAGAAAAGTTGGATCCAGGGGTTCTGGGCTGGTTTTTGTTGATCCAAAGTGTTCAGGGATTGAAAGTGTCCAGGCAAACAGTTGCGACCACAGTTTCAGAATCATGGGGTTGTAGAGTTGTTGTCGCTCCAGGGTTTGAGCGTGATTTTGGAATCACTCTCCCCAACTACATGGCTAGGGGAACTTCAGAAGTGGTCAGTCATTATGGAACAGTTAATTTCCAACTTTCAGAGTTGTCACCTTCATTGGAACTGGTACGGAGCGATCGTGGCCATGGACAGCGCGGTCTGATTGTGTGCGCCTGTCTTCTGACCTGCTCAGAAGGATTTGACACCAAGCAAATCACGCAGAGTACGAATCAAGCACATGGAGCATCTGGCCCTCTAAATGCAGGTCGTGAAAGGAGCAGAATCAAAGAAACGAGATCTTGAGATCTTGCAGTTCTGCGCCACTCAGTTTCATCGCGTTTCTAGATTGACGAACTTGGTGGGGGTCCGGTCTGGTCTTTCGTAAAATTGCGCAACGCTCTCCTCAGATTGCGTGGTGCTTTTCATACTTCAATGAAATATTCCCTGTCAAAACTGCTGGTCGAAAAAAACAACAGGAGCTATGTTTGAGAAATGTGTGGTAGAGCCTTCACATGCTTGCAGCAAACCAACATGTATTCGACATGAATTTGTTCAAACAAGAAGCAACAACAACAACAACAACAACCACCGGACCAAGATAGCTATCCAGGGTGATGATTTAACCATATGCTAGTGCCATCTATCCAGAGGGCTTCCAAAGGTTTTGCAATGATGACAATTCCATTGAAACCTTTTGCCGAAGGAGAATGTTGGAAACATAGGGCAGGGTAAACCGCAAAACAATCCAGGTGATGAGGAGCAAGTTTGAGAGGACGTATTGTGCAATTAGAGCGCAATTTATCTGAAAACTTCCCAATATCGTTCAAGTATGAAAACGACGTGCACCGATTGTACCGGTGACACTGGCTACATCGAATACATACATCGGATGCACCGATTCCAGTGAAATCAGCGCAATCTGTGCACCGAGCGTAGCCACCACCAAAAAACGTCACCCCTTCTGCCCATAGATCCAACTCTCGTGGGCCCGGTCACAGCTGGCCCCCTGTGTGATTCTTCTCAGGCATCCTTTTAGTTACTTTTTCGTGATGATGTGAAAGGAGCAATCAGAGACTTTGAGAGGCTACCTGTTTAGGAATCCTTTTCAGTTACTACCGCATTGGGATGGTAATTCATCCCTACCAGAGGATGGCCCTGACCAGATGAATTTTATTGAACAACATCTTGATACACATGGCAGCCTACGCGATCGCCTGTGCATGGAGCAGCAAAGTTGGAAGATTGGGAATCCTTGTCCAAACTGTTCGAGAAGCCAAAGGCACTGAGCGTGCACAATGAGGGTAATCAGCGTGCTCAGTGCAATCGCTGTAACGAGGGTGTCTGGTCCAGCGAAGCGCCTATCAGGTACCTATCATCAATCAAAAACACGGCCACGCCGCGCGACCATTTCGTAGCAAGCGTCAAAATATCTATCAGCGGAAAGCATAGTGGCATAGAGAGGGGATGATTAACACTGTAGAGAAACAAGAGTTATTCCAAATTTACAGGTCCCTCCCCAATTGAACGATGAGAATAGAATGTGTTCTGGAGTTTTCCCCTATTTAATCTCATCACATTGCATTTAAGTAGATGTCTGGCCATACTTGCTTTCGGTTGTAACGGGCGCGACCATACAACATAAGAAGACATAAGAAAACACCATCTGGTGTCTATGCCGGCGTAATTTGACGCGTGTGAAATTCGTTCAGACACCCCTTATAAAGTACAGAAAAAAACATCTGCCGTCTATCAAACAGCCAGATATATACAAACGGAGCCCGGCATCTCCAAACCACCTTTGGAAATGCTATGGCCATTGTGATGCAGGAGGAGCTTGAACCTGTCTACCAGAAACGACGTTACCGAGCAAAACCTTGCTTCGCTTGGGCTCCTGACAATGTAGCGTGCCTTACCTTACACCCCTCTACTTTCACGGCAGTGTCACCTACTGTGCGCACTCAAGCCTCACACAGGATTGGTTGTACGGAAATGTATGCTCACCAGAATCAGCCTCCAACATTGATGAACTGAGGTCACGGCTGAGCCATTGTCATCTCAGAACTCTGTAAATTTGACACCACATCGCCAGCATCCTCGTTGGAGCTCACAGGCCAATAAGAGACGTCCTCAGCAAATGTGAGAGCTGTGATGTCAGACATCTGACATGGATTGTTTGGGAACGTTTAGATGTGTAAGTGCGCAAACCTATAGTCAGGAACCAAACGGTGCATGCAAAAAGCCAAATCTGTTTCACACACCCTGTCACAGACATCGAAAGCGAAACAGCCACTGAAAAGAACAAGAACGACAAAAGCTTGAAACGTGGCCATAGACTGCGCAAAACATAAGTACAACTACAACTGTGGAGAAGGCTAGGAGCAAATTATTCGATATCATCAGGATACAGTGGAACCTGGTCAAAACGTTGAGCAAACCTGCTGTTGCATGTGTTTCGCCATCAGTCGAGGGGTGCATACCTCCCAGTTCCTGAGCCCGTTTCCACGGTTACACATTCTTCCCCTGCCCGGCCTCATGTTTTTTGACCTGAAGTGTGTACTGACTCCGTCTGGCTTCAGGGTCTCTCTGCGCAATTTTCATGTTCTTGTTTCACTGCTTCGCTCCTGATGTTGGAAGCAAGGCCCTCCTTGGGCTTCAAGAATGCACATCGTCGACTTCTCAACAGCACCGGCGTTAGGTTATCTCTATAGCTCAGAAAAAGTGACCGGTGCGCAGATTGCGTGTGATCTTGCGAGGTTCATTGTCAACTTCCGACTGGGTTCCCTCATTTCTAATTCTAACAGCCTCAACTTGGATGAAGTTGTGCACCCATGCTTATGAACTACTGCGCATTGAGTCCTGACCCACGCTATGGGCGCAGTCAAGAGAGCCCGAAAGTCGTGCAAGGCAAGTATCCAAATTGAAGCCATCCAACGATGGTTTTTGTGTGTCTTGCCTGAGCCGCCTGATGATGTCCGCAACATATCTCTCAACAACTGGACCAGGATTGGAAGACATGGCTGGGCCAACAACAATCAGGCGCGTCATCTGTTGCGCAAGGTCTGCACCAAGCGCCGGATGGTTGGTGAACTTGGCCAGAACCTGGTACAAAATGTCGAAACAAGCCATGCCTGCGGATTGGCACTTGGTGGTCTCAACTGCCTTTTCACCCACCTGTTCCATGGAGCAAACTTGCTCGGCTGTTTGCAAGTGGAGCCTCCAACCGTGCAGGGTTTTGGTCGCACTGTCCAAAGCGACCAAGAAATCCACACCATAGAGCCGCAGAATGTCAACCACAGGAACCTCGTCTTGCAGCGCCAATGGGAGTGCCAGAGTCTTCACTTGGCGACCGTCGGCCACAAGAATGACGTCAACCATCCACTTGGAGCTTTCCTGGCGCAGCACCACCAACGCAGTCCCTGTGGAATCCACGAAAGTTTTTGCATGCGGTGCGATTTGGAAGCCACGAGGGCGCATGGTCTTCGCAACGAGCTCGTACACCTTCACCATGTTGTTGCGGAGAACGAAGCACAGCTGCTTGGACGCCGGCAAGAAGTGCATTTGCAGCAAGTCGGCATCTTGCACGTAAGCTTCCAGGTTGATCGGGGCGCAATAGTCCGTGTGGCGTGTAAATGCCTCGTCCCAGACATAAACTGCAACCACCTTCGAAGCTTGGTTGTACAAGGCCAACATGCGAAGAGTTTCATTGAAGGCAACTGAACTGGTCGGCCGTTTGATGTTCAGAAGCTCTTTAGTTGGCTGGCTTCTCGCACTGCAGTGAAACTTCACCCCCTTGCCACCATCTGGAATCTCATGAGAAGAGATCCAAAACACGCGTTCCTTGGACAAAGAGCCAAGCAAATGCACGTCGTCAGGGTCCTGGACGTCAAGGGCGAATTCGGGACCTGAGGCTTCCAGTTCGACCTGCAAGTGGTCTCCTTCACCAGCTAGAACCTGTTCAAAGAGTTGCTTCTCAACTTTGAGGTGCTCCAGTTTGCAGAAGAGTTTGGGGCATCCCTCGACCTCTTTCTCGTAGTGCAATCTGTAGTTTCCGGAGAAACGGCTGACCATCCTGGTGAGCATGATGCTCATCGCATTGGGCGGAGCTAAGCTTTGCATCGCCCTCGACAAGTCATTCCTGACATGGCGTTCAAGCTCCACCTCATTGTCAGCCCGATCCTTCTGAAGTTCTGCCTTTTTTTGGGAAATCACATGCTGCTTCAATCTGCTGAACATTTGATCGGACATCTGTCGAAGGGCTTCGTCCATTTTGGCAAGAAGTTGTTCTCGGTAAGTTTGCAGCGTTTTGGTGTAATTGGGTTCATGCAAGATACCTCGTCTGTACTCATCCTGCATCAACTTCTTCACACTCTCCACATTCCCTGCATCCCCACTGCCATAATTACGAAGCCTCTCAAAAAAGCCCTGTTCAGGGGCCAGCTTTCTGTGCCAATGGTTGAAAGCGTTTGGATCTTGCACGGACTCTATCAGCATCTGCCGCATGGTATCCGCCAAAGGCAGTCCTTTGGCCTCAAACCACTTCTTGGAACGCGCCACCATTGCAAACATGTACATGCTTGACAAGTTGGTGAGCCGCAGCTTTGCTTGCTTGATCGCGCCACCCAGGCTGCAGGTATCTGCACGCGACGCCAAAGCTACATCCTTTGCAGCCTTGCAAGGATCGCCCCAGATTCTCTCTCCACGAGGTCGATGCCAAATGTCAACCTCGTCATTTCCCAATTCCCTCAGCCGTACCGTTCCAAAGATCTGCCCATTTGATGGGTACTTCAAAATGGCGTACCAGTAGCCAGCACCGGGGCCAGAGCCTCTGTGCAATACTCCATCTGGTCCATCAGCAATCTTGTCGACAGAAACCTTGATCAAAAGATCTCGGCGTCCGTCCTCCATGATGACAAAGTAATTCAGTCCCCGCCACCACCTGTACAGCAAAGCTGCGTTCCAAACACTTCCCCAATCTTCTTAAACAGTTTTTTTCGATGTTTTTCTGGCACGTGCCTCTGGCTGGTGGCATTCCACTTGCCCACAAGCACGTGATCGACTTGGGTAGGAAGCTGTCTGGCCAGCTCATGAGCGGCATCCTTGTCTGTGAGGTCCTCAATTGCCGCTTCAACTTAATAGGATCGGTGCAAGCACTTGAGCTAAGGATGGGGCCACAAGCAAGTCTTGCACTGGGCGGTTCGGAAACTCACACCTGCAAAACTTAAACTTAGAGTGCTGATGAGTCTTGCCAATGCAGAACATGAAAACTGCCCTGCACCTGCACAAAGGGCAACTTGGGCCTCAGTTCCGTCACGGATGAGTAGAGCTTCTGTGAGGGCCAAGCTCAAGCTGCTTGCTGCAAAGGTGCACTGGCCAGGCGAAGCACGGCTTTTCAAACACTGCTTCAGGCAATCACGATGGAATATGTGGCTGGGACTACAGGGCAAGCAAGCACAAGGCATCTTGCCCAACCTCAGGAACGAGCACACAGCGAAACCATCGCATCCATGTAATGCAATGGCTCGCGGCACTTTGTCCATATTGTTATGGAAGGGGAATGTTGGAACGCCTCCAACTTGCAAGAATGTGTCCCAGCTAGCACCTAGCCCATCAGCAGAACCACATGCAGGAAAGAAACTCTTGGCTGCACAAGACGCATTCTGTATCACATGCATTCAGCGCGAAGAATTCCCGGGGATGGTGTTGAAGAAACTCATCCCAGATGGCCCCTTTCAGTTTGCGAAAGACTTGTTCCCTCTCACGTTGCGCACTCTCTTCGATCGCATTTTCCTTGGCAAGCGCCTGCTGGAGCGCATCATTTTGCGCTTGGATGTGCCGTTCTTGAATCTCTTTGAACTTGTCAGGCGCAACAGTCTTCACAAACTCAGCAGCGTCTTCCAACTTTAAAGCCGGGTCAAAGTGCACCACATGGGTGTCCTTGATGTTGCGAAAGAAATTCAATATGGTCTCCTGCTGTATATCTTTCTGCTTGTATCTGCCAGCAGGCTGAACCTTCATCATGCCCAAAGAAGCCCGCTGCTTGCCACTGAAGACTTTTACGGCAGCAAAATCCCACTTCAGCGACGCTTGAAAGGGGGAGCCTAGTGTGCAATCATCTTCACTCGCAGACTTCATGCTGATCTGAATGTCCATGTTCCTCCGCTCCGAAAGCCAGCACAAAAGCACTATTCAAAAGCGATGCGACACTTACACGAAACAGAATACTCACGAGGCGGCACAAGTCAAAACCTGACCCCAACAAGTCCTTGAAGTGTCAGCCGCCCTCAAGGAGCCTCCAACACTCTGCACACCATCCACGTCACCTTGCTGTACCAGCCAAATCACCTGGCTCCGGGAAATCTAAAGAACCCAAGCCGAAGCACAAACAGGATTGAACATAATATGTAGCTATAACATGGCACGGCACAACATTGTTTCGTTTTTTACAGCCAAAACTTGGGTGCTGAAGGTTTCCAACCCATAGCCACCTCTGAGGCCAGCAGTAACACATAATGTATGAAACTGATCAACTGTCGACGTTGTGCATGATCCCGGAAGCCACCACTCGCGGGCCACAGGATCAAGTAGAGCCGCTGCTGGTGGACCAAGGCATAAAGGCCGGGCGCCTCTTTCTTCAAGATGTCTACCGTCGGCTGTGGGACTTGCAGCGAGTCGAGGAATTTTCGAATATCTGGCTGCTCGCCCAAGAGCGCCACCACCTGGCAGCGGGAGTCTCAGAACAAACACAGAATGTAGGGCCGCTTCCACAAGCTCGACCATGACAAATGAGGTCTAGTCATAAATTCAAACACCCATGGCACCTGGAAGCTCGCTGAAGGTTCGCTCAGCTTCTGAAAGTTCACCTTCAGTTTGGGGACCATCGACGCACTCTTGGGCCGGACGATGTTGCAAAGCGCCACGACCTCTTCGATATTGGTCACCAACTTGGCCACGTGCATGTCGTCCTGCAGATCCGTCTGCAGGCCAATCAGCTGTGCGCCTGTGGCTTCACGGTTGCAGCTCGCCAGTGGGAAGTGATCAATGTCCATGACAGCCTCTGGAGCCTGGTGCACATGCGACATCCGAGGCGGGCCGACCGACCAGCAGGCCTCCTTTTTAAGAAGGACCGTGTTTGGGGGGCGGTGTGTTTTCCAAAACCGCTCTCTGATTCCACGATGAACCCTGCGCTCTTCACATGCCGCGCCTCTTGACCCAAGCTGTTCACATGCTGCATGAGGTCATCTTCACCCAACATCTCCCACTCACCGTCATCGTCGGGCCTGGAAGGCACCTAGTCAAACAATTCAACTTTAAAGAAGCCACCGTCTGGCAGCGAAGTATATAATTGAAATTTCCTTGAACATGTCATACAGCCTACACTCAATGTAGCCGGTGTGGGGCCCCCTTCTGAGGAATGCTCTGGATCCTTGCATTCAGGCCTTTCAGGCAATAGGTCCGCTTACGCGAAGTGAGTAGGCCACCTCGCCACCACTCTTGCAGCACAACGAGGCCGAAAAAGAAACCACACGACATCGAAGGACCCCTCCCTAAGCGTCCCATGGGCCCAACTGGTGGGCACCACCGACCCTTCGCAGCACCTCTGTCTGCTCCTTCACCTCGCTCTTCATCTCGTTCTCGCTGTGGCTAGGGCAGCTAGGCGGAGGCATCTCCGTGCTTGGAAAAGAGCTCGCATCGCTCCTCGCTGCCTCCTCCCCCTTGAACTCTGCGCTGGTGTTCACCGCAGGTGTAGCCACCTGCGCCACCTGCGCCACCTGCGCCACGGGCTCCGCAGCGGCTCCTCGCGGCCGCTTGGGCGCGCGCTCCAGGCGTTCTCCCAAGTGGCGCTCCAGGCGACGCTTTTGCAGCTTCTTCATGCCAATCTCTTGGAAGTCCTGCCGTTCACCAGGTCGAGGAATGTCACCTTTTGGACCCTGCCCCACACCCAAAAAAACAGGGATGGATGTCGGAAGGTGATGGTCATGGCGATGGTCAATGGAAGCTGCTCTTGGACAGATATAAATTGCCAATACATGTTTGACACGTGGCACTCTTCAAACTTAGAGAATGAACAGCCTGCTGGATAAACCCTTGCTGGAACCAGGCGGGGGGAGTCAGAGAGTCCGTCAAGGTCAAGCCCTAAAGTCAACATACTGTATGTGAAAAGGGATCTACGAGTGACAAGCACTCGAGGTCAAAAACATCTTTGAGAAACATCTCCGCCTGCAACATGGTCCCACACCCCTCCTCTGCCTCGAGTTCTTCCAAGTCTTTGATGCATTGGACACCTAGGCCCTCCAGGGCTCCTGCGAACTCCTGTAACCCTGCTTCCTGCAGGAATTGCTGCACCGATTCCTCCATCGCCCAGCTCCCTGAGATGGGGCGATCACTTCAGTCCGGATCAGCGAGCAAAACACCCAGGAGACTGCAGGCGTCTAGTGCCAAATGGCTTCAGCAGATACTTGGGACGCACAAAAGGCCAAATGAAATCGTTTGCACGGCAATTTGTGCAGAAAAGTCTGACAAGAAGCGCGACTCGCAATTCTATCTGAAGCGCACTTTTGGGAGGAGGCGTTCCGAACTACTTGGGGCTCTTGAGTGAAACCTCCGTAGCTGGTGAACTCTAGCTTCTTGCCAAGGCCGACAACTCAAACATCTGCAAGAGCCGGCGAAAGAAGATTTGTGTGACACTTGTGTCACAGTCTGCAGTGCGAGGTTGACTGAGCCGCGGACACGTGCCACGAGCAGGATGCACTGCGATCTCACTGTGATGCGCCATCACTCTGCGTGAGTCGGCCGCGTGTCACACTTATACGGGAAGCTTTCGAACCTTGAAACTCCAAATGTGCGTTCCAGAAATGCACATCTCTGGACCAAGTTCATCAGGAAATGTTTTGAACAAAATGAGAAAGCAAATTCCGCCAACTATTTATACGGTTGTTTTGCGGCAAGCAGGCCAAGGCCAAAGCTTGTGCAGCAAGATTGTCCAAACCTTCCCCATGACGTCCTCAGGATGTGGCTAAAAAAAGAACACTGGGAGAACATATGGCTGGAAACGGGTGAACCAACCAAAGACTGGACCGAAGCGATTTGCCGATGATCCTGAACAAATTGCCGGGAGCATCGGGGATGGCAAGCAATTACGTAAACACATGAGGGATCTTGTGAGTCTTGTGCAACAGATTCACAAAAGCTGCATGCTGCTGTCCATAAAGGCGACAGCATGCAGGTGACAAAAATGCATCGTGGTCTCTGCCATGATTTTTGGTTGGCTCAAATGCCTGGCCAACCTCCCCCTTTCTGTGCACAGCTCCTAGAGTCCAGTACCCAAGTTGGATGCCTATGTTATGTCAATCATCGTTTCTCAAAGAGGATGGGGAATGCTTCCAAAACAGTTCTGGAGGCTACCCACCTTCTGTCAAGCCTTTATCATTGTATTGTGTTTTGCTCATAAAGCTGAGCGAAAGGAACCTCGAAGTTGCATCCGGGTTTCAACTCCAAGTTACCAGCTGCAGGCATTTACAGTAGGTACGTTGAGAAACTTGGAACAGCCCTGGCTATATCTTGAAAAACTTGTTAAAATAGGAAGACCTCCCAGGACCCTACGGAAGACGAAAATAGCGAAAATAGACTACCATGACCCTCCAAGGGGTGTCTATTTATAGCCCCTTAGCCGTGATTCGGGGTGTCCATTAACTACCCCTTGAAGGCGGAATCCGCCTATCTTGATCCGGCCTAGGGCCTAGTGTGGCAGCTGGACAAACACGAACGTCAGTTGCCAGGACTCAAATCCAATCGTTCAAAAAATGGAACTGAGGACGTGAACAGCGGTATCTGAGGGAATGCACCAATTTGCCACCTCGCCGTGAAGTCAAGTCAAATGGTTCCTCAAACGGAAACGACTTTGATCAGCAAACCAGACTTGGAAAGAATAGGCATGGGGATGTGTAGGCGAGAATGGTTTTCATTGAACATTCTCCAAACTTAATCCAAGCCATGCGTGTATTCTCTCGGTTTTTGCTCTGCGATTTCCAGTATCAATTCCACTTTGGAACGTGAAGCCTGGTGAAACAAGCACTACCATGCACAAGCGATAAACGTATTCAGGTCCAACTAGTAACACACCACGAAAGCATGCATGGCAAACATTCAGAGATTACCCCCTCTCTCTGTTCCAGAAATCCTTGCATCGCTTGAAATGTGAAACCGACATCGCCTCCGGTCATCTTGGCCGGAAGAGCGTGCCCTCCTCACTACTACGTCACGAGTCATCTGCGCTGGTTGCTCCGAGGCGCCGGCTTCAGCACTCCCTTGATGCTGTGAATGACGCCGTTGGAGCAAGCAATGTCCATGTCTCCTCCCGGAATCTCATTGATGCAGGGCCCCCCGCGCGGCCATTGCAAGAAGGTCACCATCAAGACTGTTCCATCGATGGCCTTCAGCGTGCGACCACTGTACAGGGCCTCGAAGGGAATGCGGCCCCGGATGATGTGGCATGCGAGAAGGTCCTGCAAATAGGGGATCTGCAGCATCTCTTCGATCGATTCCTTCCCCAAAGCCTCCACCAACTCAGCATCCTGCGGCACGAAGACCGTAAAGGGCCCATCGCCTCCATCCATCGCCTGCGCCACTTCCTGGAATCCCGTGGAGCTGGCCACCAGCTGCCCAAACAGCCCCAAGCCCGGCTCCCCCTGGCAGGTGGTCAGCAAGGGCTGCAGCGCTGGCACCTGAGACCGATGCACGTCCACGAAGGCCAGCTGCAGGCCCCGCATGCCGCGGGGCGTCCAGGTGCGCGCCACGGTGAAGGCCATGTCGCCCAACGCCGTGACGATGACGGAGTTGTCGGGCTGCACCACTAAGTCCAGGATGGTGGCCAGTTGTCCTGGTAGGGTCGAAGGACAGTGCCAAAAGGCACACAGCGTGCCATCCGAGGGGCGGAGGGGCTGGCCGTGACCGGTTAGGGTGGGTCCAAGAACGTGGAACAATGCGGAGTGATTTGGAGGGTACAACCCACAAGAATTGGGCTAAGGGACTTTGGAGGAAAAAAAGTATCAACAGACTCCCTGCCAAAAAAAGATCCGATCGACCCACCTGTCCTTCATCGCCCACCGTGGCCTCCATGCGCTCCTGGTTGTGGAGCAGCCCCACCGTTCCACCCATGTAGCGGTCCCCCGTGCCGCAGCGCAGGCGAAAGGCGAAGCTCACGTACTTGTCGTGTCGCAGGGTGAACTTCACCTCCTCTCGGTAGCCGGGCCTCGGCCGGTCCACGCCTCCGAAGACGAAGAGGGGCACGGCGTGCAAGGGCCACTCGTCCTCCGGTTCGAGGTGTGCCACGCTGTCGGTCCAAATCGCCATGGTCCGATTTGGGAGGGAAGGAGGTCAGAAGCTGCAGCGGAACTCCGAACCGGGCCCTGTTTTTGTCGTGTGCTGTGTGTGTGTGCTGTGTGCTGTGATCCTTTTTCTGTTTTGTGCGGTCATGTTCTTGGTTTTCGCCCGCCTATGTAGATCTATAGATGTTGATGCGTATTCTTTGTTGTGTCGTGTTTCTGTCTGAACATGATCTTTCGATGAATGGGACCGCTTCGCCGCCAGCTCCAGGCCCAACGGCCAAACGGTAAACGTTTCCTCAGCACCTCCCAGGTCCAAAGTCCAGTCTCCGCAGATCTTTCAAAGAAAAACACCAAGGGTGACATGCCGACTGCCGTGTTCCCCTGCTGTACCCGCAGTGAGGATTTTCACCTAGGACCGTTCCGCAACACTGAATCCTTCAATAGAATTGCTCCACGCCATGTCATGACTATATCCGAGTGCGATCTATATCCGAGGCTGCGTCTCAGTGCGATCTTGAAACCGAAGTTAAGAGGTGAACGCCTGCGCAGTGGGAGTTTGGATGAGTTCGGAGGTTCATTGGAAGCAACGATTCCGATAACTGGACACAAGACTGTCTTAAGGTTGATCCTGTGGCGCAAAAAAGAAATCGCGCGTTTGTTTGGCAATCCTCTGATGCACTCACCCTGCCTCTCCTCATGAACATCTTTGTGGTGAGGCGTACCATGGTTTCCAGGTTTTTTGACGAGGCACCATTAAAGAGATGGATGGATGCCGCCCCTGGACAATTTGCTGCTGCCCCGTGGCTATGCATTAAGCTGCGCGGACCATCGGTCATAGAAAACTGTCCCTTCACTTCACTCCGTTACAGAATCTCAACCTGTGTGCACATGTAAACACACCCGCCGCTTGCAAAACATGTTGGTTCTTCATGGTGTGGAAGTGGGAAGGCATCAAAATCTACATTCCCCTCGCTCAGCATGCGTTGCCTACAGTCATGGACAATTTGCACGGCGGCAGCAGCATTCGCATTTGTAAGAGTAGCATAGGAATAGGAATAAGAATAAGAATATGAATAGGAGCAGCAGCAGCAGCAGGAGCAGCAGGAGCAGCAGGGAGCTGGAGTAGGAGTAGTAGGAGTAAGAGTAGGAGTAGGAGTACGAGTAGGAGTAGTAGGAGAGGAGCAGTCGTAGGAGTAGTAGTAGTAGGAGTAGCAGTAGCAGTAGCAGTCGCAGTGGTAGTAGTCGTCGTCGTCCTCGTCGTCCTAGTGGACTAGCAATACCAATGCCAAGACCTATGCGAGCACAAAAAATATCAAAACCAATGCCAACACCGACAAAAACACAAATTCCACCCTTGATACCTAAAAATCAAAACGAATACTGTATATATCACGATTTATCTATTTTAACCAGAACTAGCAATAATATAGCAAAAGTAGCAATGGCAAAAACATGCAATGCCAATAGCACTAACAACAAGAGTTGAAAGCGGCACCTGTATTAGCAGAACACACAGTAAGACTAGCTGTGGAGGGCACAGCTAGTCCTTATGGTTGGCTCAACCGGCTTACTCTGGAGGTTTTAACTTTTGGGGTTTGGGTTGGTTGGTGTTGCCCAACATCTTTTGTTCCTCATTCACCTCCATTGCATGGAGGTGAGTCGAATGGCTTGTCGATGTGAAAAGGGGCAACACCTCGGTCAGAACCGAACCTGCTGGGTGGTGTGCTGCTGGGCGCCGCATGTCCCATCACGGAGCTAGCACGCGGCGAACTTGGTGTGCGAAAACACCAACAACGATGGAAGTGAACAAACAAGCTAATTACTGTACTTCTACATCTTCTACTGAAGTGCGAGACGCAACTTGGAAGAAGGCAGGCCACATGGGTCTGACAGACTATCCCGACACATGCTGCCCGACATGTGCATTGACAAAATGTTCCGACACTTTTTCTGGCATTGGTCTTGCACGTGTTCTACCACATCACCGAACTTCAATGTGTTCTGACGTCCTTGTTGATACAGTATCTGTTCTGATTCTGACATTTGTCCGGCCGTGAACTCTGGCATGTGCTTCTGACACGTACGTGCTCTCGCACCAAACTGCCATGCACTCTGACATGTGTTGGCATACGGTCATCATATGGTCCGACTTCGGCTCTGACATGTGTTCTGCCATACGTTCTGTCATGTATTCCGACATTTGTTCTGCCATCAAACCCGCCACTTGTTCTGAACATGTTTTGGCGACTCTAAGTGCACCTATGCCGGCATTCTAGCTGGCATGTCTTCTGACATCCTTCCTGGAATTCTATCTGCCATGTCTTCTGGCATTTTGACTCGCATATCTTCTGGGGTATTTTCTGACATTGTACCGAGCATATCTTCTGACATCTTTTCTGGCATTCTATCTGGCACACCTTCTGGCATGTACTCAGGAATTCTATCCGAAATTGGCATGTTCAGGTCCAGGCCCATGTGTGCCCAAACGCAAATGGCGCTCTCTGTGGTGTGCAGACTGAGCTGGCGTGCCCAGACTGAGCTAGCGCTCTCTATGGTGTGCGGGCACGTGTTTTGGGTGATAATTTGTTTATCCTATTAAATTACCAGTGAAAGCGGGTGATGATGGTTAGCAAAGGCCTTTTTATAAGTGTTTGCTGACTGTTACAGGTATAGGGACAAGCCCAAAGTATGCACCATCACGATTGGGACAATGCACTCCACGTTTTGCTTCTTCAATCACTCTGTCTGCTGAAACTTCCGGGCAAAGACTTCAAGCGTTCAATGTCTTGTGCCCACACCATCCGTCAAATGAAAACGACGAAATGGACCTGTATCGGAGGCACTTGCCGTTATGTACCACAAGTGCTGGCCAAGCAAGTCGTGGATCGAACGTTCATGGTCCTGTCACAACAGTTCCACTCGATCTTGCACAAAGGGCAAGGAGAATGTTGACAAAGCATAGTCCATGGTTCTTGGAGATTCGGGTTTCAGAATTGATTCAAAACCATGTTGCCACATCTTTGTCCGGTGTCTTCCACATGACAAATGGCCGTGGTGCACTTGCCCATGCATGGTCCAGTCTGGTGCTGGACCTTTTTCCCTGGCATGATTGGGATGATTTGAGGATGATAACGAACACAGTGGACAACTTCTACTTCTATTGGGAGGAAGGGGTGAACCGAAGGTGGCACGTACGTTCCTGAGACTCGGTGATGAAGGCGACCGATGAGGTGGGGGGCATTTGGATCCAGGCCCCTATGATGAAGACTCTTTCCTTACAGGAGGAAACTCCTAGGCAAATCACCCATTCCTGGTTACAATACATGTTGGCTAAAGCAAAAGGAAGCTTTAGAGGCTACCTTTCGGAACTGCTCCCCGTTCAGCGCTGCCGCGCGTCTGCCAAAAGAGAAAAGCTCTGTGACAACAGCGCGCAGCCACAATGAATGCGCTGTAAGTTTTCCCCTGCCAATCAATGACACATGCCACAAATCCAGGATCCTGCCAGGAAGAAACACCGATAGAAGTGAGCCAGCCCAGCGAGACACTGGCATGACTTACAAAATGAAGATGCTGCACTTTGTGGGAAAGTGATGTGCAACCGCACTGGTCAAGATAGGACATGTTCAGGTGCTGCAAATTCAGGTTCTGTCATGGTGGTGCTTTGCCACAAGTGCCAGCCAACAAGTTGTGGTTCGTGGGTATGTCAAACTCTTGCAGCAGTTCTACTGCATCTTTCTCGAACGGCAAAATCATTCAGGCTGATAAAGGATAGATAGCTTTGTTTGGACGTTTGGATGTGATATACCCACAAACCTTTCACCATGCCTAAATAAGAATGACCTTCCAAGAAGTCACCTTCCACCGGTGTGAAGGGACGACTGGACGACAGCCATGGGGCGTGTGCTTGCGGGGAGCTGCAGTGCTGGTGCTTTTGCGCCAAGTCACTGTATAGTTGGGCTTGAACCGGAAAAGAACATATGTGTTCATTGCTAATCCAAAGAAATGGGATTCACCCACAAGGCAAAAGCCAGGTATATCACATGTACGATCGTATACCCCGCAAGTCCGCATGTCAGCAGCTGCCTTGCTGAATGTTCTCAACCAGCAGCTTGACAAGATATTAAATGAATTGGCAGCGAAAGGCAATCGAGCAAAAATCGACTGCACTCATGTTGCAGACCGGTGGGGCATGGTGCCCCCACTATCCGATCTGTCCTGCAGGTGACCGGCCATGCAAGTGCCCCCACTATCCGATCTGTCCTGCAGGCAACCGGTGAGGCACTTTGCCTGGTGCCTGGTGCCCCAACTATCCGATCTGTCCTGCAGGTGACCAGTGAGGCACTTTGCCTGGTGCCCCAACCATCCGATCTGTCCTGCAGGTGACCAGTGAGGCACCCACGGTGCCCCATGTTCTTCACCACTTGTCTTGATAATGTTGCTTTTCGCTTCAATTACTTTGATGTTGTGAAATCATCCCTGCCTTCATGTGACCATTGGCATCGAACGAAAAGCATCTTGCAATTCTCGAACCTTGACACAGGGCCCGGTTTGTGCTCTCTCTCTCTCTCTCTTCTCTGGCAACATTGAGTTCTGATTTCAAATCCAAGGCCATCACAGCATGTTGCACGTTCTTGCCAATCTCCTTCTCATCTTGCTGTGCCTCATTTGTTGCATCTGGCATCAGGTAGAATTGAAGCAAAGAATCTGGGCCCTGGACGGTCAAACGCAATGTATCAAGAAGCCTTGGTCAATGAAAAACCATTGGAAATTTCATGAAAATTCCTGCGCGGCAGTCAAATATTGGATGTTTTCTCCGCTTGACGTTTGACTTGCCTGTTCTTCTTCTGGTCCACGCTCACGTGATGTTCTTCCGACACAAGATCAAAATGCCCGCAGACCAAATGTTTTTCCAAGCAAATAAGGAAAAAAATGACGACCAAAGGACCCCACAGAATTAGCCAAGGAGCCGGGATGACGCCTCACTGGATGCACGATCGGCATTTCCTGCAGTCATCAGGTTGTGCCACAAGAGTTGTAGTTAGACGCGAGGGTCGAAGTGACTTGCAGCTTAATCTCGCTTCCTCCAGGCTTGAGAGCTATGAACAACTTCGACCATTCCTGACAAAATGACCAGGTTGCGCTTGCAAAGTCAAACAGGGCTTCAACATGTTCCTGGAGAGGATGCGTGGGGTTTCGAAGCTCGCGCCAATTCAGCAACTTGGGCAGGGCAAAACAGGAAACGCATCAATTCATTGTCTCGTCTGCACTTAGGATTTCTCTTCTGCGACTGTCCTCAGTCGTCGTTTTCTCTGAGTCGCGATCGGGACAGGTCGCTGCACTTCTGCCAGCTTCCCCCAGCTCATCTGGCGTCCCCATCAGCGGCCTCAACGGTCGGCTCATCCGTTCCCTTCGGTTCGTGGGCGTCCGCTTTCTCCGGCACCGGTGCAGTCGGCGGGCCGTGGCGCGACCGGGCGAAGTCCAGGAGCCGGGCTCCAGCAGCACGTGCGCGCCAAAGAGGCCCATGGCCAAATCTCCATGGCCTCGAACAGTCCGTGGAGATGAACGAGGGACACCACGCCCAAACACGTCGTGGTTTTTCCTGCTTCCGGCTGAGCTGCTGAGTTTGTGCGGAGCTTCAGTCGTAAGAATCGCCTCAATTCCCCAGGCGAAACAGCTGAAGGATACTTTATTCCGAAGTCTTTTGCACAAACATCTGAAGCATGGAACATGACCCAACCAGCTCCTGATTCACTGGAACCCCTGGGGTGTCTGGACCAGTTGCGCGCGCCGAAATCAGAATCGATCGCATCATCATCTGAAGCTGCTCGTTGTTCTGGGCTCCTTCTGCTTCTGCTTCTTCTCTCTCTCTCTCTCTCTCTCATTTTCTTCTCTTATCTCCGGCACCCTTTGATACTGTTTATCTGAGATACTGTGAATTGTCTGTCTTTCTGTCTCACTGTTGCCTCTTGAGATCTGATTGTGTGCCTGTGAGCACGCTAAAGCGCGCTGAGATCGTGTGAAGCCACTGTTCCAGGCAAGGCCAATCAACCTGCGAACACAATCCACCAAAGGTTACTCAAGATCAGTCAAACTTTGGGGTTCGCCTCTGCTCGCGGAAACATATACGGTGTGGCTTTTTAGAGCGTATTGTTTAAACACAGCATCCTACAAATCCAGAGTATCACTGACGTGACCGAAGACGTGTCAAGGTCACGTGTTGCAAACCTGACGACCCGGCCTTCCAGTCCAAAGCCTTCAGAACCTCAAATTCATGCTTGCTCAAAGTCGAGTCGGTGATCTCCTCGCATCAGAGGTGCGAATGAGCCCGCAGTTGGGGCCCAAGTCATGAATCAAACATCATCAAAGCCAGCCTGTGTGACATGGTTCTATAGATTTCACGTATTTTTTCCTTCTCTTTTCGTTCTATGGATGTCCTGAAACCCTGAGTTTTGTGGCATCACATTGAGGTTCCCCAGGTTCTCTGCCTCTCGCAGCCCCCTTTGCGGCCGTTTTTCCCCCCCGGACTTCCGGCCTCGGTGGTGCAACCGAAGGTCATGCCCACCCACGTGGCAAAGTCCTCCCCGCTTTGGGGCGGAGCATATGAAAAAACACCATGTGAAGCACCATGTTCATCATGTGAAGATTGAAGCAGTTGTGAAGATGGCACGCAATGAACCACGGTGAATCTCTGCGCAAACACCCCCCCCACCTGTGCCACCATCCATCCTCCTGAATTCCTCGGTGGCTGAAGTGCGTGGCATTGGGTCGCTCGGCGGGGGGCCGGCGGCGGCACGGTGGCTGCTGCCCAGCAGCTCAGTCAGGAAGAGGTCTCTTTCGTAGTGTCCTCCGATTTCCAACTTCGCCACGATTCTGGAGAGCACAGGCTGAGTGATGCAATCAATCAGCAACAGTATGGTGCATGGGCAGGTCAATGGCGTCTTGAAAACATCCACTCAATGCCGGTCCCGTGCTATCTCCATTCCAGGAAAATCCTACCCTCCGGAGACTCGTCAAATTGAAACAGTTCGTTCTCGGGTTTGGGTGTCAGCGGCGGAGAGCGCCACCCGTTTGCTGGTGCAAGGTGGATATACTAGACTCACGTTCGACTCACACGAATGAATGACACACTTGACCCACGTTCGACTGACAAAGAGATGCAGTTTTCACGAATGCGGTGCCTTGACCAACTGGGACTCTGAACATACAATCCCGAAAGGGACATGGTGAGGCGAGAAAGGACACAACCTGACCGCAGCCCCATTCATGTTCCTTGGACAGGGTCGACTTGGTCCACCCATTCGACTCAGGGTTTCCCAAGCCGGAAGGGATTCGCCAGAATCAACCAAGGGTGCTGCCCCAGCCTTGCAATCGCGGCACAGGTCAGTGGCAGCTTCGGAAGGCTCGCGCAATATGAGCTGTAGCGATCCAGCAGTAGAACCGCCTAGCACAAGTCATCGACTCTCTCCATCAAAGCCGGCCCGAGCAACCTCAGGCGGGGCGCCTTAGACCAATGTGAGTCCGAACAGGTTGCGCCCTGGCATCCAGATCCACGGGACCGTCAGTTGAAGTTCCAAAACTCAGCAGCAGCACCGCCAAGCAGCCTCAGCGTGACGCGTGGTTCGAACACGCGCGAACCAAAGAAGAAGCGGGAGATGAACATCAATTCGAACCAAAGCCGGTCGATCCTACCTGGCGATGAGATATCCTCAAACCCTGACCACCTGGCCCAGAATTGTTCAAGGCCTGGGCCTCGGGGTGCTTTGTTCATTGCCAATCTTCAGTGCTGTCTGTGCCACCGCACGTACAGCCCCAAGGCGCGCGGTCTTGTCCAATGACTTGGATCCTTGAAAAGTCACACACACACACAAAAAAAATATAGATATATATATATATACACACACCAATCCAAGACAATCCCGAAGAACACACGCAACCGAACGACGCACCCAGGTTGCAGAACAGCACAGGGTTATGTTTCGACCACTGCACAACCTCCAAAACATTGTGGGCCACAAATCCCATAGAAATTGAGAATCCGGAACCACAATCGACAAGTGACTAAGCTGTGAATTCTGGTGCCTAGTTGAATAACAAATTGGGACAAACTCTGTTGGCGACAGGGCCTTGACTTTCAAAGCATTTGCGATCTTCCTGCATCGACGCATCCACACAAATTCTCTGCTGGCAGCCGAATGTAGTGCACGTAAATTTGACTCGCGCTTGGCCAGCAAGCGCACGCAAAAGAACTACAACGTGTTGGAAACCGCAAGCAACTGTCCACCGAATTTGCGCCTCCCGCATCCGCATCATCGTTTCGGTAGAGGCAGCCAGCTCCTCCCACGCCCACTCCAAATCCTCCAGAATCCTCAGGACAATACAAGGTTCCAGAATGCGTCCCCCTTCGATCTTGAGTTCGTGGCGGTGTTGGGAGTGCCATGCTTCGAACCTCGGTGGAACAACACCCGGTGACACATGCGGAGGATGACTCCAATGCGCTTGAAACAAGCAATGCCCAAAACTAATGCACTTGGCAAACACTCCGCAAACACCTGCAGGTGCCAACACGAATTTGTCCTCAACAGAAACGTTGCAAAAAAACATGGTGGAGTTGAGCGCAGTCAATAAAATTCAATGCCAAGTGGCCCTGCTGGGAGGAGCTGTCGCCAGCAAACCAATGCTCCAAAACAATAAGGGAGTTTGATCCAAAGAACGTGAAAAATGGTTTTCAGTTTCGCTTTGTCCATTGCGCCAGTGACTTAGCCTGCTCGCATCGATCCAAATTAGGAGTTACAAGCCAGCTGTTCACAACCTTTACCAGGTTGAAACCTGGACATGGAAACCAAATCGGCTCTCTGATTGCCAGCTAGCACTTTACAATGTCATCCAGTTCCTGTACTGATGGGCATGAAGATTGGTCTCCTTGACTTAGATTCCAACATTTTTCTCAACCCCGCACCCCTGGCACACAAGAAAAAATGGAAAGCCAGCTGCTCACAAATACCATTCTGGTTCATGCATGAATGCAAAAATCCCAGAAACAATTCAAGCGACTCACCAAAACCTTGCACAATTACCTGATAAGGCTTGCAAAACGGAAACGCAGACCGGATGGCAGGGTCGGCTGGCGATTCGTCCGTTCAGCGGCCAATGAAAATCCTACAAGGTTTCTGTAAACATGTACCCTGCCTGATTCGACTGTTGACAAGCTGTCTACTGGACCTTCGGTTGTGCTTAGTTACGTTCTCAAACGAAGGGTCTTCACACTGTGCGCGGCCTAGGGCCATGTGCCGCGTGCTTATGGAAGATGCAGTGTTTGAGGAATCTGGGCTCTGAATTCACTTTTTGCATGGCCGTCACGAAAGGCCAGCAATAAAGGACATCAAACGAATAACACTTGAACCGTTGAAAAACGGAACACCAACACAAACAACACCAAGCAACAAGTCAAAGTTAAGATCCGTCGTGACCGCGAAGTGGCAGCGGCTGCGGACCTTCTCATCACTTGAGCCAAAAGTACAATGTTCATGAACTGTGCCTATACATATGAGGTGCACTTTACACGGGAACCTTCAAGTCCCCCCTCACAGTGAGATGAACATATGTACAGCTAGTATTCCAGGTCTGAGACAGTCGCTTCATTGATTGAACCGTCTGTGACCTGACAATTCCTATCGAAAGACTGCAAGCTTAACCTAACAGGCTTACGAGACCACGGCCGTATTGTCTTCGAAAACCTTCAGGGTCATTCCGGGGATCAACGCCTGCCATACCTCCAAGGTAGGGATCGCCTCGGAGAATAAGGCACTGGAAAGCGAGACGAACTCGCTCTCCATGGTCGACCTCGCAACCACGCTTTGCCTCTTCGAACCCCAACTCACTGGTGCAAAGCTGGAGGGACCTGAAACCGCAAGGATGAATCCAGAGGTTGATCGCATGGATTTGATGTCACCGCCGAAATCGGCATCGCAATACAGAGACAAGTTCAACTGCTCTGGCGGATCACGAATGCACATTATCGGGGAGTATTCATGGGTCTTTTGCAAGTACCCAATGAGTCTTGCGACTCTTTTGTCGTCGTTGGCCGACCACACCGTAATGCGTTTCGCCAACAGAGTGACAGCAAATGTGACATCTGGCCTGCTAATGCGACAGAGCCACATCAACTTCATAATTAATTTGGCCGAATGTGGCGAGAGCTGTCCCTTGATCTCGTCATCAGCAGGGATCAGGGCTCCATCGTCCAATGAGGGCGAGGAATAGGCCTTCACCGGCGTTTTCGCCAGCTCTTCATACAGTTCGACGCACTGTTTTGCGAAGTCAGATGATTCAAAGGCCACTGCTTTGCCCCCTTGAAACCACACAAGCCTATGGTTTCGTCCTAAGACTCTTCCATATTCTGACGGTGGGTCTAAATTTATGTACTGCTTGAGGGTTTTCCAGAATCCTTCATGTTCGGAGGCTACTCCTGAGAGTGTGAGGTCGTCTACATAGACGCTCATCACTAGAGAACGACCGAATCGAAAAACCGAGGGCATCTCACTGAACTCGACACCGTTGAGTTTTTCCTGCAAGATTTTGGAAAGGTGGGCCTGCCAGTGCGCCGACGACTCTGGATGGCCATAAAGGCTCTTGTACAGCTGCGCGCAAGGCATGTGGATGTGCTCCTTGGATTCCGGCACAAGCTCAGGCGGTAGCATCACAAATGTTCGATGCTTCGTGCCGAGTGCGGACTGAATATAGGCCCGGACGCAATCAGATGTTGAACGAGTGTTTCCCTTGATCATTGAAAAGGCTATCACTGTGTTCAATGCTGCAATTGAACTCGGAGCAGAAGCAGCAAGATCTTGGAAGATGGCGCTCAAGCCCCCCTGATCCTTGACTGCGTCACCTCGGAAAACAATCCGAGCCTTGATCTTCCAGTCAGCTGGGTTCTTTTCATATCCCTTTATGCTAACTATCACCATTAGGGCTCCGAAATGCAGTGTTTCATTGGGAAATTCCCTGCTCACGTCTGCCTTTGACCTAATCTCATCTTCAATCCAAGTCCCTTCCAAAACCAAACCATCTTTCTCGCTTTTAATCATTCAGCACGCTCTAACAGACGATGAACGAATGCTGGTGTTACAAACTCCTTACATCCACTCTCATGCATGAGGACATCAATGGGAACACATGGCATCCCTTTGACAACATGCTGCCGATGTGAATGATTCACGCGAGGTGTGCACGGCATGCAAAACACATGAGCATTGACGACATGTGGAAACAAAGCATGCAACATGATCTGACAAAGAGGCTCTGGGTAGAAAGCTGAGTTTCGAGCGTACTTCCCTTCAAGGGGTGCATGCTTGTCATGCGTGCACTTCAACATTCCCAAAGAATCAGCTAACCTCTTATTATTCGTGACAAACCTCCACGGCTTTCGAGCGGGTTTGTTGTCCTTGGCAGTGATTCCTACGGTGCAGCCACCGAAAGTGGCAACACCAAGCAACAAGTCAAAGTTAAGATCCGTCGTGACCGCGAAGTGGCAGCGGCTGCGGACCTTTTCATCACTTGAGCCAAAAGTACAATGTTCATGAACTGTGCCTATACATATGAGGTGCACTTTACACGGGAACCTTCAAGTATAACAATACCGACGACTTGAAGGTCCCACAGAACAGGATGAATTTAGCACACAGCCGTTCTTCAAATGAAAAATGTTTGTCCACACCGCTATCTTCAACACATCAAGCAACATGTTACTCAAAAGTGCGAGTGGCAGGAACAATGTTAAACATGTTTGTGTTGATGTGCGCACTGGGCTGCTTATGGATCAATGCCCAGTCACTCTTGAGAAGTTGACCAAGACTAAGCAAGCAACTCGTGACTGTTCCAACAAAACTCGTGTTTTGAGCGGCTGGCGCTCCGTTGGCATCCGGACTTCGTCGTATTCCCTGGCCATATTTTCCTCAGCAGCACCGTTGAACGAGATGTGAGACGGCGGGGAGCTATGTACAAGGGAGCAGCCGCACGTCCTGTGTGAGGTCCGCAAAAATGGCAGGGAAGGGCGGCACACGACCCCCAGCGGTGGTGCAGGGCAGCTCGGAGGCCAGATCGCTCGGGGGGCGACCGGCCGCGAGGACCCTCAGAAAGTGCTCGCAGTCGTCGCCCGGCCATGTTTCCATGCCTTCCAACATGCCCAACATTGTCAGCATCATGAAGGTCTTCACCTGCTGGCGTTTCACTATTCGACCCAAGTGGCATCTGCCATGTTTTTTCTCATGCCCCTGCCTTGCACATGGTCTTTCGGGCAAGTTGCACACACGTTCTTGTTTCGGGCGGACAGAAGCCAAATCCAAACCACGGGCCTCAAGTTCCATCCATGGCTCCATGGCCCAAAACCTTGAAACGTTCGTCGTATGATTTTTGTTTGTTTTTTTAGGAAGACGTTCATGCAGTTGTCAACAAATGGGCCCCACACACCATAGAGCGCCGGCTCTGTTTTGTGCACCGCGTGGCCACGCATGTCCTTGCACCTGCTGCTGGCACCACAGCATTTAAGTTGATAATTTCATTGTTTTTTTTTTCCCCCCGTGATATTCTACCAATCATGCATGAAAGTTGCTGCATACGGTGGCTCCGAAATGGCGGTCGCGGCGGTTTGGGCGTCGTGGCTTGTGGAGCTGGCCGCGTTAGCCTATGAAGCCTTTCAACAGGTTGGCATGATGAAGCCCCACGAGCACCCAGGACAGATGGCCATGAATTCGATGGCGAAGAGTCCACTGAGAGAAGAAACCAACAGAACTACACGGAAGACGACCTGGATGAGGTAGAGCACGCTTCATCATCAAGTTCCCGGATGGCCAGATCCAGAAAGGTGCAACGCCTAGCCTATATGAATTCGAGGCCTTGGGGACTTGGTGATGGGCAATACCGACAAAATCTACATGGATATTTGCCTGGGAACGGAGTGAGGCAAGGCAGAACTCACTCCATGGATGGGATGGCAAGCTGGACTGTGTTTGAACGTGGCCAGCATGGAACTTTGTGGAATTTTTCCACCAACAACCTTTCAATCGAGAAGGCCGCCAGGCGCACTCGAGGCCAGTGACTCGCAAAGGTCATAGGGAGGTCACTGAGAAACAACAGAGGGCGCCAGCCCACCTCCGCACCCAAGCCGCGAGGAGCAACAGCGGGCCGCTGCGCGCGAAGAGGCGGAGAAAAAATAACTCTCCGAGTCGGGATCGTGCATGTGACGTTGGCAGGGAGGAGCTGGCCCCTTGGCTGCGACAATGCCAGGGGTGCTTGACAAATATGGACACGCCAGCAAACAGTTTGATGCCTTCGTTTCCTGTGAACCATTCCTATTGCATGGATACACCAACAATGACTTCGGCTGGACGCGCAAACGCAGGGAAACCCGACTCCTGGCGAAACAACTTGCCGCAACATCACGTCGACATGGTTTGGTTGTGGCTCCTCTGCTTGACTTGGCACAACGACCAAATGCAAAAAAAATCAAACATGGTGCAAAACCATATGCTCACACCCACAGTGGGGGCGACAAGCTCTGTTTTTTCAGGCCTGGTCCTCGGTGACTCACCCAAGTTGGACCACTTGTGTCGCACACTGACAACATGACCAGCTCACAAATTGCCAGTTGTCCGTTTTGACCCTTATGAAACATTTGTGAAGTGTTCGGCCGTTTTGCGTGGTTTGCAATTGAACTTAGCTTTCCGCCACGTTGCGATGCGACGACTACAGGGAGACCCGGCAATATCAAGTTGCCTGTGGACATTGGGACCAGGCATCTAAACCCCCGAACCGGATCCCGAAGTTTCTTCTTCGGGTTCCTTTGTCGCATTTGCTTCCTGCACCTACTCCTCGCCTGGGTTCCGGTTGTGCGCCCTTCTTTTCTTGATTTCGTCTTGCGGAGCAACAAACCGCCACTAGCCAGAACCAGCACTGCATAATACTGCCCGCAAAACGCAGGACAAGCATGGCACAAAAGTCTTGAGCATTTGTTTTTTTGAACCATGTGGCCAGTAGAACAAACGATCATATATAGAGTTCTTTGAAGCCTAATCGGTTCGAAATGTTCAAGCGAGCTTGCTCAAGTGAAGAAGGCCAAATTGATGCTACAATCTTCTCGTTCACCCCCCAGTTATTGGAGCTCCACACATTTTAGGCCCTAAGTAGGTGAAGGCTTCACAGAATTCTAGCCAGGCAGCGGTGAAACAGGGCTGCCACCGAGGGCGGATGGAAGGAAAAACTACTATACGGCAGCCGTCCAAGTGTAGCCAAAAACGACGCTGCTAGGCCAGGCATAAGAATGACTCCGTCAAGCTTGTCATGGGCGAACCGGGCAGTGACTGCAGGCTAGTTCGGGGCCAGTCCGTTCTTTAGCATGGCGGGCTGGCAAGAACGCTTCGTAGACCTGCAAGGAACGCGGCGGGGTTGGTTTGAGGGTTCTTTTTCACGAGAAATTTTCGAACGTGTTCATACCATCTTGTGCCGTTTGCTGCGCCTCGGCTGTATAGCGTAGGACCCTGAAGCTGACAAGGTCCCACCTGCTCTTTCCAGCGCACAGGTGACTGCAGTTCATTTGGCCATGCCTTGGGCCAATTGCCATCCATCCATTTGGGGCTCCGGCAATGGCCAGTTCCGGTGCGAAGCGGGCATTTCCGGATCCGTCCGGGTGTTGTTGGTGTTCCCCTTCTGCTGTGCCCGTCCTACTGGCAGCAATAACTTGTTCTGTGTCCGTCTCTGTTTACCAAGGTCTCTATTTGTAGTCTGGCGGAAAAAGGGATGACAACAACATGCAAAAAACGTGACAAGCCTCGATAGCCTGGACCCCAATACCATGTTCGCACCGGCTTTGCCCCGCTTCTTGCAAGAAACATCCAAACGACAGCTCTTCCCGCAACTAGTTGAGGCAGTGAAAACCACTACCAATTGTGTGTCGCGTGTTTTTCCTCTTCACGCGTGGACAGGAAGTTGGATTGTTCAGGGAACAACCATCGGTGCTTTTGTTGCATGACGGCATGTAGAATTTCGGGCAACCACAGAGTGTCGGACCGAGGGCAATGTGGGTTTGTAGGGACCAGATGGACAGTTTTGTATTATTTGGTTGGCAATTGTTTTTGTAAAAAGACCTTTGCCTCCGCGAGTTTGTTTGCAATTAGTTCTGGAAGATGCATGTTGAGGTTGTGATCCTTTGAACATGATCTGCAAAAGCACCACATGAAACTATGTCTGCGAAATGGAAAGTGTTTGGCTTCATCTGGGCACCTCAACACACACGTTCGCTCAAAAAAACTAGTCCAAAAATTGACCTCTTCCACTTTGTCTAAACAATTGACTTTTGAAAGTATTTTTGGCACACCCAGAAACCATAAAACGAACACAAACGTCCAGAAACGTGCAGCAACAAACTCGTGGTTCCTGCCCTGGGCAATGTTGTGGCTGGATTTGGTTGTGCGCAGCAAAAGAGATGGTGATCAGGCCACCACCATGGCGCTAGATGGTGCAAAGCAAGGGTTTGCAAAGGGCCGTGGCTGTCCACGCCGCCAGACCACGGGTGGAACGGAAACGCAACTGTACGGAAACGCGCCTGGAGCGCCAGCTTCGTGAACCTGTCCAAAACACCGTGCACAGCCTTTTTTCCCGAATGCGTAGCGAAGGGTTCCCGTTTATAGTTGGGGGTCTGGGGGTTGGAGCTGCGTTTGCATGGCTTGCGTCGTGTCGTCGTTTGTCGTCGTTTGTCGTCGTTTGTCGTCGTCTGTCGTCGTCTCTCGTCGTCTCTCGTCGTCTGTCGTCGTGTGTCGTCGTCGTCGCGTCTCAAATTTGCTGCCATTGGGGGAAGTTTTTGCAAGTGAATTTGCATGGATGCGTCACGTGTCAGTTGGCGCCGCTATTCCATTGTGATTTGCAGGACCATGACATGTCGCGCAAGAAACGAGATGCGTTTTGTGAGATCCGCAGTGTGCCGCGCAGTTCCATTGAGATTAGCGTCTGGAGAGTCGTGTTTTTGGGGTGTTGGATGTGGCCCTGCCATTGGGATTTGCGTTTCAGGGTGTGGCATCGAAGCTCGGTTTTCGTGACAAGTCTCAGCTGAAATGGCGATTTTGGTGGGTGGGAGTGTGCTCAGAACGGGTCGAAATCATTCCAAACGTGTGGTGTGGTGCAAATTTTGTTGAAGCTCACATGAGATGATATTGCCACTTTTCGTGGCAGGCGCGGGACTTTGTGCGTGTTTTGAGGTGTGGAAGTGCGATTTTCCTGGCAGGCGCAGGGAATCGTGAGGTTGCGAGGTGTGACGGAGGTCACATTTCGTGGCAGGCGCAGTAGTTACTTTGTGCGCGTTAGACGTGTGGACGCGGAAAGATTCGTGGCAGGTGCAGGAAATCGTGAGGTTGTGAGTCGTGGTAGAGGTGAATGTCACTGTCACATTGGGATTGGCGTGTGAGCGGATGTTGTTTGGAGGGGCTGGAATCGCGAAACTGGGCGAGAGTGCGATTTGTCCGGCGCCTGCGCAACCCTCTGCGGAGAGCGTGCGTGTCGAGCGCGCGAAATGCAGGCGAGCACTGGCGACTTTGTAGTACAACTTTAGTCCGCGCTCTGGGGAGCTGGAAGATGAGAACTGGTGACTTTGTAGTACAACTTTAGTACGCGGAGTATCTGGGGAGCTGGAAGAGTGTCCCACAAGAGTGTCCCGCAACAGTGTCGCTCAAGAGTGT